AGGGGCGCTGCGGGGGGGAGGTCTGAGGCGCCAGGCGGCAGGCGTTTCTGAGTTCTCGTCGGTCCTTGCAGGTTTCCAGCCTCGCGGTGCTCTCCAGCAGTTGCGCCTCGCCGAAAGCGTTACGTCGGCGGCGGACAAACCTCCCTTTAGCAAACCAGCCTTTAGTGAAAACGGCCTGGGACCGAAACCGACGGACCTGGACCCGCCACAGCGACGGCCGCGACGCGCCCTCGCGAACCGAAAGCGCCACATTCATCTGTGAACGCCTCCCCCTCCCCCCATTGTCCAGAGTTGGCGGTGGGCCTGATGAGCTGCACCTCGACCGCAGTCTCCCCCGCGCGTGCCAACTTCGAGTTTGGGGGGCGGGGGGGGTGCTCACGAATTGTTTCCCTCTACCGCCCCCACACATCAGTTCTGAAGTCGATCCCCTTCCCGAAGAAGAAGACGGAGCGGGGGAGTGGGGACTTGTGAAGCCGTGGGCGGGCGTCTCGCCTCGGCTATCGGCGGGCGGAGGAGGAGGAGGAGGAGGAGGAGGAGGAGGAGGAGGAGGAGGAGGAGGAGGAGGAGGAGGAGGAGGAGGAGGAGGAGAGGAGGAGGAGGAGGAGGAGGAGGAGGAGGAGGAGGAGGAGGAGGAGGAGGAGGACGAGGGGGAGGGGGAGGAGGGGGAGGGGGAGGGGGACAAGCTAGGTGCGCTCGCGTCAACATCTGACATCCTACCCCTCCCTCCCATCCCTTCCCATTGAGCTACTTCATTGTCCTCTCACCGAATCGGGCTTCGCATCTGACCCTGTTACCTAAGAGGGAAAGGAGGAGGACGACGGCGCGATGAAAACGAAGACGACGACGACGAAGACGACGACGACGACGACAACCACGACGACGACGACGACGGCGGCGACGACGACGACGACGATGAGGACGACCGGCGACGAAGACGACGACGACGACGACGCGACCGCGCCGGAGCGGCACCCGCGCCAGCTGCCCGCTGCCGTTACGCGCGTCCCCCACCCGGATCTCAAATTTCTGCAGGGGTGAAAGGAGAGGAGCCCACGGGGTACACGGCTGGCGAAACAAGAGGAGGCGGAGGAAGAAAAGGATCAGGAGGTTGGGGGGGATCAGGAGGAACAAGAAAGAGGTGGAAAAGGATCAGGGGGGTCGGAAGCGTATTATGTGTAAGATAGGCCGCAAAGGGGAAAGGCGCTAAGGCGAGAGCACAATTGAAAGCACCAGCGATGGAGCCCAGAGCGTAGCATGCCACAGCACTGCAGAGCGTAGCATGTCATAGCATGGCGCAGAAGAGCAATGCTGAGCGTAGTATGTCATAGCATGGGACGCGGGACGCATGCGCTGCAGCGGCAGCACGATCTGGAACGACCAGAGGCGCAGAAATGGGACCGACGCTGCAGCGGGAGCGACATGTTGAAGAGCCGAAGAGTGCCGTAGTGCCAAGAAAACAATACGGCAGCACGATTTGGAATGAGCAGAGGCGCAGACATGGGACCAACGCTGCAGCGGGAGCACCATTGTCGAAGAGCCGAAGAACGCCACTGGAGCGGAGCATATCATAGCATGGGGCCGGGGACCGTTGCACTGCAGCGGCAGCACGATTTGGAACGACCAGCGGCGCGGAAAATAGGACGAACGCTGCAGCGGGAGCAACATTCTGAAGGACCGGAAAGACTCGGATTTTCAAAAACATAGATGAAAACCAAACTCCCGGGAATCCTGTGCGGAAAAGGACGCCGCCCAAAAGGGGGGGGGGGCTTTCTGCGGCCCCAAAAATCAACGAATCGACACCGGATGTGTAATCACCTCCAATGTTTTTGCCGGGGATCATTTTCTAGATTTGGGGCTTCTTAAAAAGGATCGAAAACGTCGGCGCTGCAGCGGGAGCACGTTTTGGAACAACGAGAGGCGCAGAAATTGGGCCAGCGCTGCAGCGGGAGCACGATTCGGAACGAGCGGGAGCGCGGAAATGAGGCCAGCGCTGCAGCGGGAACACGATTCGGAAGGAGCGGGAGCCCGAAAATTAGGCCAGCGCCTCAGCGAGAGCAGCATTTTAGAAAAAAACACAAGCGAAAACCCAACTCCGGGGAATCCTGTGTGTAAAAAAACAGTACGCGGGGGGGTGCCGAACATCTTCCGGACGCCATCAGGGGAAGTGGGAGAGTAGTATTCATATTGTGTAATTGTGGAGGAGGAGGAGGAGGAGGAGGAGGAGGAGGAGGAGGAGGAGGAGGAGGAGGAGGAGGAGGAGGAGGAGGAGGAGGAGGAGGCGCGGAGGAGGAGGAGGAGGGGGAGGAGGGGAAGGAGGAGGAGGAGGAGGAGGGGAGGGGGAGAGGAGGAGGAGGAGGAGAGGAGGAGGAGGAGGAGGAGGAGGAGGAGGAGAGGAGGAGGAGGAGGGAGAGAGGAGGAGCGGAGGAGGAGGAGGAGGAGGAGGAGGCGGAGGGGAGGAGAGGGGAGAGGAGGGAGGAGGAGGAGAGAGGGAGAGAGGAGGAGGAGGAGGAGGAGGAGGAGGAGGAGGGAGGAGGAGGAGGAGGAGGAGGAGGAGGAGGAGGAGGAGGACAGGAGGAGGAGGAGGAGGAGGAGGAGCAGAAGGTGGGGGAGGAGGAGGGGGGGTGGTCGTTCCTGAGAACAGTGGGTTTCTTCCCTCCTCGCAGCCTCTTCTCCCCTGTTGTCCTCCTCCGCTGCTGTATGCTCAAGGCTCCGATGGAGCCGCACGCGTTTTTTGGGGTGAGCGGGCGGGGCATAGCACGCGCACTCCGAGGAGTGCTGGGTAGTGGCTGGGCCAGGTCCCCCCTCGAGTGCGGACGGGGGCTCCGGAAGGGAGCCCCGCGGTCCGCCGCGGACGCGTGGACGCCCTCGAGGGATCGCTCGAGGATGAGGCCTGTCCATGGGCTAGAGTGCACATTGGCCTTGGCCATGGGCGCATTGGCCACGTGGCTTGACGTGTCCTTCGGCATCAACTGGTACGCGATGGTCCACGCGTCGGCTACAGTGACGGGCCCCGAGGAGGGAGGTCATGAGCGCGCTGGACCCGATGACGAAGGAGGCGAGCAGCAGCAGGATCCGCCTGGTCCCCAGGACGAGCCCAGCTGCGGAGAGGCGGGCGGTGACGAGCTGCCAGCGGTTGAGGCGCCCGAGGGGCCACCTCCACCCGCGGCGCTCCCCGGTCCTGCGGAGCCCCTGGCCACGGACCCGCCGCCAGCCATGGCCGGTCCGGGCAGGCGCTCAGGTCGGGGAGGCGAGAACCTAGAGGTGTACTCCGCCTACTACGACCACTACCACGCCGACCACGTCCCGGCGAGGGCGGCGCCTGCGCCATCATCACGGGCAGGTTCGGACGAACACTCAGCTGATGGTAGTGGCAGTGGCCAGGGGTATTACCGCTACTACGGCTACTACTACGCCGACACCATCCCCGTGGAGGTGAGGCGGGAGCCCCAGCCGGGAAGCTCCCAGGTGGAGGAGGATGCGGAGACGTCCATGAAGCCGACTCCGCCTAAGGACGAGGTCAAACGAGAGGCCCCAGCGCCGCCACGCAGTGAGGGGGCTGAGGAGAAGGCGCGCGCCCCCGAGGAGAGCCCGCCCCCGCCCCCGCCTGCGGGATCAGGTGGAGCCACCAACACCACTGGCGCTAGGGGGGCGCCTCCGCAGTCGTCAGAGCCGCCGTACTTCTCCACTAAGACGCTCAACGTGTGGGCCGAAGCCGCGCTGAAGTGGCTCGGCGAAAGGGTAGGCTACGCCCTGGGCGCCCTTCTCCACCAGCTCATCGCCTTCGTCATGTGCTTGGTGAACTCCATGGGTCAGTACTTGTTTGGAGCTTACTGGGCCAAGCTGCAGTGGGCCTCCATGGGGTTGGCGGCGGTCGCGGTGGCTACCGTGCTTGGTTCTGCCCTCGGCTTCGTGGTCTGGCTCGCCAGGACGACGTGGGGATATGCGCCCCTGCTGTTCACCACGTTAAGAGGGTTCGCGCAGGGCCACAAGTCCGGGCACGACGTGAAGCTGGCGCTTGATTGCAATGCGGCGGCAGCGCTCACTTGGCACGGCACTGCGGAGGCCCTGCAGGTCGGCGACGACCACGTCAAGAGCGAGGTCAGAGGCAGGAGGAGGAGGCGCAGAGAAGATAATGCCCAACGACCTCATCGTCCAGTCGGGAGGCTCTGTGGCCAGGCTCGAACAGGGGCCGCTCAAGGGCGGCCGGCTCACGCACCACGGGTACGTTTACAAGTTTCGTGAAGTGAAGGGAAGCTCACATCGGCACTTCAAGGCCGACCTGGAGGCAACGCGCGACGATGAGGGCATCGGGATGATCCACCCGCGCGCCGCTGCCCCGTGCACGTTGCCCGTTGGGGACAAGCCGATGGTGCGCATCTGCTCGTCTTGCGTCGCGCCGCATGGCCCCCCGATTAACGTGGCGGACTTGGCCAAGCTCTCCCCCGCAGGCAGGGCGCGCGCAGGAGGGCGTCTTTGCTGCTCGCGGGCATGCCGAGGCGTAGGCAGGGCAGGAGGACGACTATTCAGGCGCTGCGCCCGGAGGAGGATGAGGCATCCTAAGCTGGGGCAGCCAGCGGGCAAGGCTGAGGAGATGGGCCCCAATTCGGAGACTGAGTCGGAGCCCAGCGTGGACGTCTGCCAAGCCGACCAGGTGGCTTACATCACCCTGGACGGCACGCAGGTCCTGAGCTCCAAGTGCTGCAGGGACGCCGCCAGGCAGAGCCCGGTCTTCCTCTTGGTGGAGGACGCGGCCGTCTCGGACACCCGCGACATGCAGGAGGGGGCGGGCGCCCGAACCTTCCCTGCGCGCGCGCACCGCGCGGGTGCCTACGAGAGCCGGGCCGCCCAGCGGAAATGCGCGCGCTCTCATTGTCACCGCGCCCATGTGGTCGAGAAGGGCGGCTTCTCGCTGTGCGCGGCTCGTGCGGCCGACCGCGTGGTGGGCTGGCGCAGCAGGTCGGCGACGCCGCATCGCGAGGATGAGGATGGTGATCGGCGCC